GACAAGGTCACCAGCGAGTGGATACAGTACGCTACAACGTGGAGGACGAGGAGGCGGACGTGGAGGACGAAGCTTTCACGGACGACCTGGAGGTTTTCTACGACGAGCTGGATTCGCAATGGCGACCGCGGTCAAGCTGCTGATGGCGGACAGCTCGATGGACATGACCGCCATGCAGATTGTCAGCGACCAGCTGGCAAGCATAGACGTGGCGATGGAGGAGATCACGAGTCTGACGAAGGTGAGAATCGACACCGAGGAGCAGATCGTGAACACCTACGCGGTATCAGCAGCAGGCGACCAGCCGAACTTCCAAAAGAGGATCGACCAGGCACACGAACCATACCCAATACCTGGAGAGCATCAAACACAAGAGTCTGACGAACCCCTGAGCACTCCAGTGAGCTCAACGAGCAGACTTACACCAGGGACGTGGTCGAGGACGGATCCCAGCATACCAAGTACAGACTACCTAGAAGATGACAACACAGAGGCCGACCTACAAAAGATACGAGAACGTGCAGAGCAGATCGCAGCATTGTGGGTAAGCTGCGAGAACATGGAAGCGGCCTACAGGGACTATATGGACTTCTGTTTGGACTGGACCTTACATCGCTTCCAGCAGCTCATGCACATCACCATGGAGATGGCACCGAACGGTCTCAGGAATATGGCCTACGATCTATGCCAAGCAGCCTGGGACAGGACCTCGGAGCTTCGTGACATCGTAAGGAGTACTTGCGAGCGCCTACCGATTGGAGTACGACCGACATGGTTGTGGACGCAACGTCGAGCTGGAACCAACTACGCTCCAGAGGGAATTGGGCGGCAGCAACCTTGCGAGGAGCTGGAGGAAATTGAAGCCTACGCAGTACGAAAAGGACCTATTCCAGATGGACATGCTGTACTGGACACTGCGTGCCTACGTGGATGTGGAGGTTCAATATCACTGGACGGCTACACAGAAGACGACGGCAGAGTCACCACGCGGATGAGAGGATCACCCATGCGCTTCCAAGGCGTGAATGATAGCGCCCAGGTCATAGCAGAAGGAGAACAAGAGGTGACGGCTGGACTTGCTGGAGCTGACGTGAACCTACGCTTCCAGAGGTTGCCGAAGTCGAAGACGCCAATACTGCTGAGCATCCACCAGCTGGAGGAGCTCGACACAGTGATATACATCAAAGATCAGAAGGCGGACTTCAAGGCGATCAACAAGTACGGAGTGCCTCTTAACAAGACGGAGAAGGGACACCTGACGATCTCGCTCAAGGAGTGGCCGAAGAAGGATACGACAAAGATCGAGCCATCAGTCACGTCCGACGAGATCGACATCTGGAATGCGGAGGTCCAGGAGATCGATAAGGGCATCCTACGGCGGAAGCAGAGGAAGCAGATCGAGACGTGGGAGAAGGAGATTCAGGACACGCTGGACCAGTGCCAGCAGATCGTGGACACGCTGAAGGCGGACCCGGAGGAGAAGCGGCCCATCATCTGCGAGCTCTACGCAGGTGGCATGGCAGCCACATCAGAAGCTCAGCAGCGGCGGCATCCAGTGACGAGGCCGAGGGACATCCTGATCGGGGACGACCTGCTGGACGCGAAGTCAAAGAAGACCGTCCTGAAGCAGCTGAACGAGGATGACCCCTACGTGACCATTGTGGGTTTCCCCTGCGACCCGTTCACGAACATATCCCACATGTTCCCGAAGGACACGAAGATGCGCAGGTTGGCGATCGGCATGAAGCACCTGCAGCTTGTCAAGAAGATCTGGCTCAACTGCAAGCGCCGAGGAGCTCATATGCTACTGGAGAACCCATTGGCATCAAGAGCATGGCAGCTAATGCCATGGCTGGGCACCAGTGCGCCGAGGGCAACAACCTGGTGGACTTCATGGGCGATCCGGTCAAGAAGCCGACGAGGTTCCTGACGACGGCCATCATGCTCGGCAAGAAGCTCAACAACATCAGGTGTGACGAGCAGCACGTACACGCGAGCGTGATCAACAGGCCGAAGGGAACAGCATCGAGCCTTGGGAACTGGACCAAGGAGCTGGCCAAGACGATCTTGGACGGCATCGAGGATCAGCGAGACCTCGAGAAGCAGCATGGTGGCTACGCCTGGTACGCCAACAACTTCGACGACATCGACTGTGACGAGTTCGAGGCCAACCCTGCGGAGACGGAGGCGCCGATGCACGCTAGCGCGGCGGCGATCTTCAGCAAGCATGGCGAGAACATCGAGATGGCGGAATGGACGGCGGTGCCACCACTCATGCGAGCAGCTATCGAGAAGATACACGAGAGCCATTCACATGGACCCTACAAAGAGTCACTGGTACGGTATCTACAGCATGGTGGAGCTAGCCGACGAGCGGTACAAGCAGCACGTCTCTTCAGATGCACGACATGTGAAGAGCAGGCTCGGACGGCAGCGAGACCTACAGCAGCTCAGCCTAAGGTTAAGGACTTTAACGAAGCCATCAGCATGGACTTCATGATCATACCCGACCTGGACAAGAACATGCACGTGGTGCTTGTGATCGTGGACGTGGCCTCGGACTTCACCGTGGCGATCTACACG